GATTTTTCCACAAATTAAATCGCAAGAATGCTCGTCACGTATTGACGGGGTTTTGTGTGCAATAATTTATCTTGATATATGCCGGATACGTGCGATCGCTTGTATTGTTGGAATATACATGGATCGTTTATATCACATATGCGCAAACCAATATCTGTGTTATCGTCGCGGATAGATGCAGGAACGTAATTTTATCTATTTGGAATAATTCGCATCTATTCAAAAACATTGTCGGCTCTGGCTCTTTTACATGCAGCAACGCGATCTCAATTTTTGTCAAACGACTCGTTTGCGGTATTCAATTTGAAAAAAAAAACGCGTGATTGTATCTCAAAGACTTTACGCGTGAAAAAGCGATAGGAAATGAAGACTCGCGTTTTTATCTTCACTTAATATCTCTTATTAAATGATAAATACAACTGTCTATTTCTAAATTTTACCTACTTAATATAAAAATTTAATTTAAATACTTGTATCGCATGTTTACATTTTACATCAGATATTTCTTAATTTATTGTAAGAAAAAAGGGAAATAGTTATTTTTTTAAATAACGAAATAAAATAAAAAGTAATACACATTCAAGTGTGTATTATCACTTTAATTTTTGAGAATGTACAAATGAAGCTTGTGCGCGAGACTTTTAACACGCTTTTAATTTGTGATGTACTTTGACGATATACGTCACGAACGCAATTCGATTGATAGATCAGGAAATAATATTTTTGAAAGCGAACACACGCGAATCCGAGTGGATATCCAATTTTATCCAGGAGCATAATTACGCTCCTGGATAAAATGAGCCTTCCTTTGCTGTGGCTGCCTTTGCAAAACCTGCACGACCATGAAAACCATCGAGGCTACTGCACCAACCGCGTAAAATGAAACGAGTTTTCAGCGGGTTCATGAAACTGCGGAACACGAAACGATGTCATAAAGAGCGTCAAGTGCGCAAACTTATGTTCACAGATTAGAAAATTCACGAGCCAATAAAAAATCAGTTTTTTTTTCTCACCTGCGTTTCCTACGGAGAAGTAGTCCTCGCACGTTTTACTGAAATACAGAATTTCATTTCGATGATCATTTAGGATGGAAACTACACAAATTTAGAGCCGTAAAATTAGTTGATAAGCTGAAATCGTCGACTCGATAACTTTTTTCTCTAGACGTTTTTCTGTTAGTTTAATTGCAGAAGTTTTATTAATTGCAGAAGTTAACGTGTAAGTTAATGTATAAATATATAATTGGTACCAATTTATATTCGGACAATGCACAACGAGGAGTCTATTTTTCAAACCGCAAAAAGATTTACATTCGGTGTTTTGACAAAGATGTTACAAATGTTGAGACACGTGTGATTTTCGTTCTGCATACATCGTTAGATATCGAGTAAATTTATTCAAATAAGCATGATAATATATATATATATAACATAATATATATATATATAACATAACTGAATATACGCTTGTATGTGTAGAATGTATGAAGTCATTGTTAGATGATAAATACATATATTACTGTATATTTCGATATCGAGATAAAAAAATTAATCTTTGATCTATATCATATTAATTTGATGCTCGATTATTTATTGTATCGTGAAGAACGGAATTGTTCGCATTAATTAATTATCTATGATAATTGTCAGTTCATTGGTTCTGTCAATTCCAAGGAATTTATTTAAATGCTTTTTATCGAATGTTTTCTTTTAGCGTTACGTCTCGCCCAGATTTTCTACTTTTACAACAATTATAAGTTATTTACATAAAATTTTTCATTCATTTACCCAATTCTTTTCTTACCAACTACTTATAATTTTATTCGATTTTGTTGCATCAGGTAAGTGTATTTTATAATTTATACTTTTTTTCAAATGATTTATTTAATTCATTATCAATATTTTTCAAGTATATTTAAACTTATGTTATGTCGCGTAAACCTTTATACAAGTTTCTTTTATTTAAATATCAGTAATCGAATATTGCAATATCGAAACTTTTGTAATGAACGTAACTTAAACTGATATTTTATAAGCAGACGTAATGTAAATTAATGTTTACGTTATGTCTGCTTCTTTTTTAATTCACAATTGGTTTTGTTCATATCATTTCATTTTCTCTTTTTATTTTTTATATGTCCTTTTATTCATTATTATATTATTTTCATTTGTTTATATAAAATATTTCTAACATATTCATCGAACTTTATACATATTCAAATTATATTTAAAAAATTTTATATTATTCTTTTTTTTAAAGTAACTTTTCAATTTTTAAATATTTTTAAATAAACATATATTTAGCATAAATTAGTAAATAAATTTATTTATTTAAATATTTTAGGAAAATTTTATATAAAATTCCTTAACGGATTTTTATATCAAATTCTGAATTTTCAAGTTTAATTTATTATTTTTTATTTTTGTAAACAATATGAAGATTTGTTCAATAGAATGTTAATCATAAGTGTAGGTGTTTTTATCAAACTAGCGAAAATAGAATTGATAACATGTAATAACAATACTGTGTACGGTAAATCTTTACAATTTTCTATGGTCATTATTAGATAATGCGATTTTAGACAATGCTAAAATAATTGGAAAATTGAAGAGATACTCTTACGAATGTATAAACACGACTGTTAATTGATAGTAATTATGAAATGTTAAATGTCAATGGCTGTGATGTAATCTTCTATGTCCTACTAAATCATCATTAGCAATTAACTTTACTTTGATTCGATGTTACGATTTGCAACTCAACTGCAACTCTGAAATTATATTTTTTTTCTTAACATATAATTGTCGCAAAATATTGTTTTTTCTACACATCCTATAAATATTTAAAAAATATAAATATATAAAAAAAATCTTAAAATTTATAAAATATTTAAGAGGCAATTCGTGTTTTTTTATAAAAACGAGCAAAAGCATATTAATATTTGTTTTTTTAAAGAATAAATGTCAAAAGCATTTATAAGAATTATACAAAAACGAAAGTTTCAGAAAATTATTGCTTATTATAAAATCAATTGGTTGAGTGACATTGAATTAAATAGTTGATTAATATAAATAATAATAAGTACTTGAATACAACGAGTAATTTTTTTGGCCAACATTTTAATATAAGTTTAAAAATCATCTTCACGTGTCAAGAAGTAATTTATTTTTGGAATAGCACGCTATACAGTGTCAGTTAACGTTAAGAAATACGAAGGCGCAGATAGTAGATGCCATCGTGATCCTTTATCGAGATAAAACGTCCACTAATGTCTATAATTATGTGCTCTGTGTCGTCGCAAACCTGTGTATTAATCGCATAGCTCGACTATCGCGAGTGTGATCTCGTCAAGGACTGTGATACAATCGTAGTCTGCAGGAATGAAGTACAACGAACGATAAGGAATAGTTAATGATCAGTACAATAGGCCAGCTGTTAAGAGAAAACCAAAAGTCATCTGGCGCTTTGTAAAATTGCTTCCGTGTCATTCGTAGAATAATACCATTAATCTTAATTGAGAACAATCGTTATCGACAATCACATTACAATCGCACATGTCTAATCAATCATAATGAAATTAAACAATTAAATTGGTGCAAGGGAAAATTATTGTTTGCACAAAAAGCTTCAAATTCGGAATTTACAAATACTTTGGCAAAATAGTTTACTTTTTTTCCGTTTGCTATTAACAATAAAAAAAATGAAATGTATGTATTACATAAAAATAAATAAAATTTAATTAAATAATTAATAACTTCATAATGTAGATTTATAATTAAGCATTTAATTAATAAAGAATCATCAATAATTTGAAAGTTATCAATTTATTTGGTAAATTTAAAATTTAATTAAATTTTACGTTTATCATTTTGGAACAACAACGAAGATAACAAGGCAAGTTTCTAAGATTAATTATCTGACCACTTGCAAATTATATAAGAATTTTCTCGCTTGTATCTCTTTGTGTAAAAAGATTATAAAAATGATAAGCAGGAAATCGGAATTGTTCGAAGCATTAACTTATGAGAAAGCGCATGTAATTAGTAAAAAAATAAATCAGCATTTTTGTTTTTAAAATATCACATTGATCCATAATCAAATTTTTGCTTAATTAATTTTGTTTAATTAATTATTATGTGCTACTATTTAGTTAATATTATGTACTTTAATAATTTAGGAGATAAAAAATCCGATTTTCTGCAGTTTTCTTTTATACGATATGCGAGCGATTCCACGAAGAATCTTATGTTATAATTCTTTGGAATAAAATAGATCATGTTTTTATCATAATTATAAGTAACGCAAAACGAATTGCGAGAGAAACAGACTGATAAGCATATATGTCACTTGTATGTCACAGATGTAATTACATGTTCGAGCGTTTTTGATTAGTAGATATTAATAAAGCCAAAGTCAGTAAACACCTGTTTTTGCTCAAAAGAATTTTGAACGGCAAATCAAATGGATATTTACAGGTTAATTGAACACAGAATATCATTCTTTGTCATGGTATTAGCTATTATACTATTATAAAAAAAAAGAAAGAGAGGACCTCTTTCAAATATAAAATGTTTTATTGATATACATACATTCAACATATATTATAACACGGAATAAAAATATGATAAGCAGATATATGTCATACAAAAATATACCATTATCATAACTTTTACAAAATAAATCTGTATTTTTTATAATACTATTTTTCTCTTTTTGTTAATACTTTCTATATTAAAAGATAAATTAAAAATGATAAGTTTTAATATTTAAGAAAGTAAGTAAAAAAAATTAAGAAAACCGATTGTAAACATTAAGTAACCAAAAATTTTTTAAAAATGAAAAAATAATTGCTTTCATAATATAGTTGTAATCAATTATGGATGTAATATATTCGTAAAGTATACATATAAATAAGTTATACAATAATATAATTATATAAGCGTTTTATTATATTTCTTATACATATTATTATTTATACTTCAATTTTGCACTTTTGCATTTTAATATTTTTATTAATGATTTTTCTTTATATTACAATTTATTGTAGTTCTTTTTTTATTTTTATTATAGATATTTATTATATATTTTATAAAATGATAAATTTTAATATATTAATAATATAATTAAATTGTTTTTAATTAAATTGACATAGTTTATTTGCCAATCATGTTTAAAATAAGATACTCTTGAATTAGGAGACACGGTAGTGTCAAATATCTCTCGGGTGTCAAATATCATACAATCGAATAAAAATACCGAATACATAAAAGCTTTTTTATTAAAATTTTTTTTATTTTGTATTATTACCTCTTTAATTCTTTGTAATTAAATCTTTCATTCGATTCAAATATACATGTATTTAAGAATTCTTTACAGAAATATATGCCGGAATATTATATAAACATATATTGAGATAGAATGAAAGCTACTACCACTTGTGTTAAATACATATCATTTGAAAATTAGATTAAATTAGATTAAACGCAATTTTATTATAATTATCATAATTTTGAAAAAGAATTAAAACTACTATCATTTGGGTTTTAGAATAAAAAGATTTCAATGGGAATACAAAGATACGAATCATTGATTAATTTACATTTTTCAAACACAATTATACATTTAACTTTAGAGATAATGGGACTATAACTTGGCGCCACTTTTTTATCAAATCTTTTATATAAATGATATATATATTTATAATCTCCAATTTGAGGTTACAAATTAGAGTTATAAATATCAAGATATTAAAATACTGGATTCATATAATAATTATTATGTAATTATTTGGAATCACATAGAATTGAATGTGAAGAGTATCAAGTATCTAATAATTTCTCTAAAAAATATTTAAGTATCTTTAAGATATTTTAGATATCAAGTTTATGTGATTTCGAAAAATGTACATGTTACAAATGGACGCATTTTTATTAATAAGATTATTATAAAAGATTGGTTTATTTATATAATACATATTAAAAAATACAAGTTATAATTAGACTTGATTTATTCTTCCTGATTTTTTTCAGGAATAATTTAATTTTTCAAAAAATTCTCATGTATGAAAGCTCAATCATCGTTGTATTTAAATATATTCCGTAACATTTAATTCAAAATTTTTGCATTTGAAAAATGTATATATTACATGTATAAATATATATAGTATTACAAGTGATATAATACATTTAGATATAATAAAAAATATAGCAAGTTGTAATAAGACTTGATTTATTTATCCCACGTTCGCTTTTACAATTTTATAATAAAATTGAAGGTAGAGAAGTATAAATTTAAATGAATATCTTTATGAATTTAATAAAAATCATAATTATTAATGATAATGAGTTACTTTTCAAAATCAGGAACGTTAATTTATTTTTTCACTCGCTAACAAGTAACAGTAACAAATTATTTTTAAAAAGCAATTTTCTCAATCCTGAATTGCACCTATAGTCTTGCTGATTCATTTTAATTAATAATGAACTATTATATCAAAATTTCAATTATAATCTAAATAGGAAAATAATTACGTCTTTTATATGCTTATAATTATGATATACATGGAAATAATTTAATTCACCGAATTTAATGTTTATCATCATATAGTTATCAATATATAAATAATATTAGTAACAAGATAAGTCTGTATATTTATTTGTTTAAAACAATAATTGAAAACAGTTATATGTGGACACAATAATACGGATACAACAGTTCTCCACAAATTATATAAAAATGTATAATACAATTTCTGGCAGTGCATTAAAGTTTGTATTATAAATTTTTCAGGCACCATATAAAATCCCTAAATATTCTTAATAAGGTATGACAATTTTTATATCACAATAAATATAAAATGTTGTTACATATTATTAGAATGTATTTTGCATTTTATTTTCTAAATTAAAAATATAATTTCAATCACAACTATATTGCTAAAATTTTATGGAATCTCCTTTAGAATCAAAATAATGTTTGTCAATTTTATAAAATCTAAAATGCTTTTTATTACGTTGAGCATAAAAATATTATTATCTATAAATCTTATTATTTATATTAAGTAAAACTCTTATCAAATAATGTATAGTATTGCGAGGTGAGATAAAACAAAATACAAGATCCAAATTAGATCAAAGTCCTTGTGGTAAATAATAGTAATAATTAGATTCTATGATTTTTGACCGTGGTATTGCTGTCAAAGATGATTAATAGTGCTCATTGTTCAAGCTAATGCCTTTTCCTGTCCATCTTTCTTTGAGATCTACTTTTAGACCTAGATCTCTCAATGCGGCTTTTGCATTATCCTCCAATTTGAGACCATGTAAATGTATTGCATCTCGTAGCACTTCCTCGACACCATACATTAAAAACTCCTTGGATTCAGATTTATTTCGTACCGACATATTTCTAATCGCCCAAGAGGCTTGTTTTAAAATATTTATATTATTAGGATAAGCCTTCATAGCATCTACAATTACTTGGGCCGCACCGCAATCGTAGAAGACACCAGAATTCGAAGTGCTTCGTAAAGATAACGCTGATATACAACTTAATCCTGCAGCCACGACATTCTCCGATCTCTGTAAATATTAGTATATTAAATTTTAATATAAGTATATATATTCTAAAAATTCTTTATTTAGCAAATGACAAAAATATTTTTTAGAAAAAATATTATTTTGTGTTTCGTAATAAACTTACTTTCATTCTACTGATAACAGATACGATTAAAGGTGCACATCCGGAAGTCACAATGTGAGATTTCACATTGTCATTGCCAGCAAGCGCCTTGAGCAGCTTCAGAGCTTGCCAATTCAATTTTTCAGAATCTGGATATTCAGTCATTATATCCAAAATGAATTTTAATCCTCCTGCATCCTCAACTTCTTGACAAAATTCATTTCGAACAACCAATGCAGCTAATGTGATCATTAAATCGCCTATGACTTTAGTTTCCTTCTTAAATCCTATTCACGATAAACACACATAACAGTTTACATTTTAGTTTATTACATAGTGATAAAATTATTATTATTATTATATTATTATAATTATACTATACTATAATTATTATAATTTTATAATTATAATAATTATAATAAAATACATACATTACATTAAAATACATACATTAATTAATAAGAGCGTGTAAAAGAACAACATAGAATAATTATTATATCTCAGAAAATGATCCAAATGTTTGTAGAATACCTATAGAATATAATTAACCTATAGAATATCTATAATTGTAAAAAGCTTGCAAATTAAATGATAATCCTATTAGATTAATTATGAAACTATTTAATTATATTAAGTATAATTTACTTTTTAATAATCCCGTGATGACATCGAGAGCACCCTTTGCCATGACAGTTGCATGTTCGTGTGCTTTTCCATACTCGTGTCGAATATCATCGTCCAGAACTAATGCTCTGATTACCGAACATGCATCCTTTACCTCAAGCGCACCCACGTCCGTGCGCATTAATATCTTCTTAAGTTTCTCGAAGACATTGGTCTCAAAGATCCTTTGCCTGTTCAGTTCATGCTTTATACAGCATTCTCGTATCCAGCGCAGTAAGCATTGTAATGTTACAGTATCGCAATGCCTTTCTAAAAGTCTAATTAAAATTTCACAAATTAATTTATAGATAAAAAACAAACGCTTATAAAAATAGAAATGGATTTCTTGTAATTTTAATTTTTTTCAATTATAATTTTTTATGCTTGCACGCATTAGTTTTTTCAACTTATTCAATTTTAGAAAAGAAGTTAATAAAATAAATTAATTTTCAATCATGTTTATAGAAAATATAATTCTTGAGGAAAAAAATTAGGTCTGTTCAAATCTAATAAATTGTTTAAACTTAACAAGAAAATTAGTTTGTTTTTCTCAATTTTTATATAAACTTTAGATTCAATATCTTTGATGACTTTCATATTCTATATATATATATTTTTTATAAATTTAATAATCATCAGAAAAAAATAATTAAAATTTATACCAAAAATATACACTACTTTCTATCTCTTAAAATCAATTTTCTAATAATCCTTACTGTGTTTGCAACGCGATTCCTTCGTCGTCCAATAAATCCGGATAGCCGGACATTAATGAAGTGAGTGTCTCCAGCGTAGATTTAACTATCGCATGATTCTTCTCACAATCTTTCAGAAGATTGATCAAAATGTTATAGCATTTGCGTTTAGCTGCGAAAACTTTGTATCCGATATCCTTATCCAATTCAGTTCGCAATTCTTGCAACGTCTCGGGCACGCATTCATAACTCTTGTCATTCAAAGCGCACGTTAATCGCTCCAGACACGTTATTATCTCCTTGTATTTGTCCTCAAGAACCGAATCTGTGACGATGTTGTTCAAATCTACCCCCTGTGCGAAATAAACATTATCCGTGAATAATATCGCAGCGATAAATTGGAACATGCTGCATTTCGACTTATTTCACAAATATTTAATTTTTAAATACATTTCTGGTATAATTTACTTATAACGAAACATTTAACAATGATAACATTTTTTGTACTTTTACATGAATTTTAAATTAATTTTTCCTTTAGTAAAAAGATGTTCTCTTTTTCTTTAAATAGCATTAAGACATTACGATACGACGAACAGGTCAATCTCTTAAGATAGACGATAGTGACGAGTGCTCTAAAACTAAAAGTGTCAAAGAAATGCGACAAGAGCGCGTAACAGATTTTATTCTTGCACTACAGATGCATCTTCTAAATAAACTTTAAAGCTCCAATTTATAATATTAACCAATGTAACGTATTAATCAAAAAACTTTTATTAGAAAATGCTGACATTAATTACAAAATTTAATTACAAGAATTATTAAAACAAGATGACAACAAAATAAAAAATAAAATGATAAAATGATTTAATAATATTAAGACAATTTTAAAACATATATAAGACATATATTTATACCATACAGTATTACATTTCATATTTATTTCTAATGGCTGATGAAAATTCTTGATGATTTATTCGAAGCTGACTCATGTAACACATCTAAAAAGACCATATTCGATTAATCACCAAGAGCTATTCCTCTAATGCATTTA